ACTCTGGAGGCAAAATACATGTCTGGTACTTATTATGCATACTTGTTAATTGTGTTAGTAATTTTCAAATTCAGGCATCAACCTTTTGTTTTCTTAGTTATTCTTTTATAACATTTTGTATTCATGTAACGCCCTCAAAATAATAACATTAAACCCATCAAATAAGACATCCGTAGATATATGAAATAACCACATTCTTTTATTTATCAGAGTTTCATTACCAAAAAGTATTACATGTTAACAACAAAAGCAAATGCCTTATGGGCTTACAGCTTTCCAAGTTAACACTTGGTTACAACAAAAGAGTACTAACTCATTTACACATTAAGCCCTTGGCTTGAAATTAAATGTAATACATCAAAAACAAAACGACAAAAGTATGTCCACTTCTAGCCTCCCAAGCTATGTCCTTGGAGGTGGCAGCTACCTGCACCTGAAAATGATATTCCATATAGGGTGAGCCACAGCCCAGTAGAAATACACTAAACCAACATGAACAATGACTAAAAGATTAGCAATTGATAGATGGCCAACACTGATACATTCACATAAATCACATATTTATGTCATACGACTTATGAGTCCAAGTTACCTTTCATTTTCCCTTTTTCCACAGATGAGCATGTTAGCTCTATCATTATTTCAACAGATATGTTATAAAACTATATCCCACATTCACAGATAAGCATATAAGCTGTATCCACATTCTCAACAGATATGTATAACAACAATATCCCATATTCACAGATAAGCATACAAGCTGTATCCACACTTCACAAAGATAAGCATATAAGCTCTATCTTCACTTTTCTAGACAAGCATATAAGCTGTATCTACGGAGTTCATCCCCTATCTTCCCCCAACACTATCCGGTTTAGAGGTACATCCCCTATCTTCCCCTAACCGCGGAGTACATCCCCCATCTCCTCCTCTACACATAACGTATACAAACACATTGTGTTCTATATACAATCACTCAATACATACAGTTAAATATTTCTAACAACCGTCAATTTTCATGACACATTCCATTGATTAGTTTCCATTTGCCTAATCATCATGCATTGTCTACAACAATCACGACTATCCTCCACCGATAGCCCAAAGCAGTTATCTCTAAACAGAAAATAAATGAACAATGGATATTCAATCAACATTTCATTTCCTCATTTCTTACAATTAATTATCCCAATTAATCAAACAATGTAATTAGGTCATTTAACCATAATTGACATTTCAACCCTTAGGTCCCATTTTCACCAATGACTCAACATTTATTCCATTTCTCTATGCCAAACATGCATCTAGGTTTATTATGAATAAAACCCCAACTTTTGTAAAATAACACAAAAGCCCCAAACTTTCACCAAATTACCAAACCAACCCCAACATCTCAAAATACTAAAATTTAAAGACAAAATCCATAGAGAGGAGTAGGATATCCCTACCTCGAAGTTTGAGCCAAAAGGAGATGAAGACTCGAAGATCAACGTGCTCCAAATCCAAACTTTTTCAGATTAAGTCGAAGCTCTCAACGCCCTCTATCTTTTTAACAAAGGCCCTAGGCTAGATTCACACTCTAGGGAGATCAAATCTTAGAGAGAGTGTTAAGTTTAGAGAGGAGAGAGGTCTTGGATCTAGGGTTTGAAAAGAAAAGAAAGTGAAAAACGTATGTTTAAAAAACGCTACTGTCCGACTGATATAAAACACGCTCGCTCGAGCGAAGCCTTTGTCACTCGAGCGACCAGACAACAGAAAACTCTCGCTCGAGCCAAGAAGTTCTCGCTCGAGCCAAAAACTCAGAAGTGCGCTCGAGCGAAAGAATGCTCGCTCGAGCCAACAACTCAAACCCTCAGGTCTGCAACCAGCACGCTCGAGCGACAGACTTCTCGCTCGAGCGAAGAAACAAACCAGACGCTCGAGTGAAGAAAACTCGCTCGAGCCAAGAAATGCAGCTCTCAGTCCAGAACCAGACGCAAGCGCTCGCCTGAGCGAAGCCACTCTGGCTCGATCCACCAGACACGAACTCAACTCTCGCTCGAGCGACCAACTCTTAGCTCGAGCGAAGGTCCAAAAATCTGGGCAGCAGCACTAGGCTCCCAAACACAACCAACCTGT